TTTATTAATTGTGTGATTTGTTTGTTAATTTTGCACATCAAGTACCCCACCATACTCTCATTTGCCTTATTTTTCCAACAATTATAATTTCGTATTACAATTAACAATGTAATTGTAATATGACATACGTGTTATATTATATTACAATTGATTATACTAGAGAATAAATCGAAATCGGAAATAAACTGTGGTTGATGAAATAAGCATGTCACACAAAATGATATTATGCACAGGCAGCGTAAGTAACTGGCAACATCCCAGAAACAATTGCGAATGGAATATTCGGATATGTGGCTAAGATAGTGAAGAATAGCTGCCACTTACTTAGCAACTCGTGTTACGCTTTTAATTTTAACTCATAAAGTTGAATATCGGCAGCAAATATATTTTATCTTTAATAGCTAACTTTTAGCAATAACAGCAAAGTTTGAACCAGCAACTGACATTTAGCTGATATTAATTAGGTTGGTGCAAAAATAATGTCGGTTTTTATTGTTTTAAATTTTAGCGCTTTATTGTACAATAACGTTATGTTCGACTATGTTCATATTAAACCATTTTCACACACACAAGCGCAGGTTTCGCTGTGTTCATAATTTTTTCTCTGTATTACTTTGTATTAAATTACTATCATTATTGTTAAAAATGGGAAAGAAGCAATTTTGAACAATTTTTTTATTCAGACTAGGCTCTAAAGCAGCAGAAAAGAATAAAAAAATTAATGAAGCATTTGGAAATTACAAACAAACGGATAATACAACGGTGGTTTCAAAAATTTCGTAACAGAGATGAGAGCCTTGAAGATGAAGAGGGACGCGGACGGCATGTAACCATTGACAACAAACAGTTAAAGACAATTATTAAATCGACTTCATTAAAAATCACTCGAGAGATTGCCCAGGAAACTGATCACTCAACAGTTGTTCATCATCTAAAACAAATCGAAAAAGTAAAAAAGCTCGATAAATAGATTCCTTATGAATTAAACAAAAATCAAAGAAATTGTCGTTACGAAATCTGTTCTGCTCTTATTCTGTGTAATAAAAATTATTCATTTCTTGATCACATTATAATATGCGATGAAAAATGGATTCTTCTTATGACAACAGGCAATGATCTACTCAATGGTTGGATTATAATGAAATACCAAAACACTTCCCTAAGCCAAAATTGCATCAAAAGAAGATAATGGTGACCGTTTGGTAATGTTCAACAGAAATCATTCATTTTCACAATTTTCTAAAACCAGGTGAAACTATCATGTCAGAAAAATACTGCCTCGAAATTGACAAAATGCATTAGCGATTACAACATCAATATCCAGCATTAGTCAATCAGGAGGGATCAATTGTATTACACAACAATGCTCGTCCATATCACAGTATAACTACATACAATAACGATAGTACGAGCAAACGAAGGGTTCAATTTTGTTCTGTGCATGTATTGGCTGTAAAACCAAGAATATGGCGGACTGTCATAGCATTAAAAGCATCGCTGTGTGACGACGATTGAGATGTAATAAACTACGATTGAGAGCTGAGTGTATAATTACATATATTAAGATGAATAAAATAGGTGGAATCTCTTGTACTTCTGGATATCGAATTGATTCTTATCCATTCTTATCTATTCTCCGGATTTAGAATAAAACGAGAAATCATTGAAGTCAATTCTGTAATTTTGCATGGAAATAGTTTTTTTTCTTTTTGTACGGGGCAACTACTAAATTTCTCACTCGCTTTAAACAATTACATAATGCGTTAATTCTGGCTGAAATTTGACCTGGAAAGGTTTGAAGAGTGATACTTTCTAGGTGTCATCAAATGGATTGTGGCACCATCTTATAAAGATTTACCAGATTTATTGAACCACTCATATTATATTAGGTATTGGAATTAATTCGTAGCGTTTTACAAGTGATGGGAAGTACTTTCATTAATGTATTTTTTAATGCTCATGTGAAATAAATAACATTCTTTCATTAAAAAACGCTACGAATTAATTCCAACACCTAATAATAATTAAATAAATACAATTTTTCATTGTTTTATTGTTTTCTCTATTCCTATCCTATATCCTAGGCAGCACAAATTTGGATACATGTCCAAAACTGGGGCATAAAACATCTTAAAGATTTATTTATGGCGTCTTAAAGAGATCTTGAAAACGTTTTATGTCCCAATTTTAAACATTATGCTATCTGAAATTATCAATAAATTGTTGACTTACAAATATTATGTTTCACATACTGTTTTATGATTTCATTTGGTCCCTTCCGAAAATATATTGAAATTAGAAACAAAAAATAAACTTATATTAATATATACTATATATAGTGGTATATCTAAAATCATGTATAGAATTTATCCGAATTTAAAAAATGCTTTATATGCAAAATATTACAACGTCTCTTGATGCCATTCAAATTCAGCGGTCCGTAAAATCTTCAACATAGCTAACAGTCACGTGATCACCGACATCACAGAAGCCGACAGCTACTGTCGCTACTGTATGTACTGTATGTGTTATACTGTGTCCACATATTGCACAATCAACTCTGTAGAAACTAAACGAACTTGGCTACGAAATTTTGCCTCACCATACTCACTGGACCTTTCGTCAACTGTCTACTACTTTTTTAAATATCTCGACCACTTCTTACAGAGAAAAATCTTCAACAACCAAACTGCTGCTGAAAACGCCTTCAGAGAATTCGTCGATTCTAGAGCCCCAGAATTTTATGTTAATGGAATAAAGAAACATCTATCTCGTTAGCAAAAATGTGTAGATTCTAATGATTCTTACTTCGATTAATAAAGTTTATTATGAGTTTAGATATTTATATTTGAAGTTGAAGGTTAAAAATTGACATTATTTTTGCACCAGCCTAATACTAAGTTCTTTGTAGTATAATGTTCTGGTAGTCTTAATTACAATTTATTATTTGGCAGCCACAACTATTTTAGCTGTATTACATGCAAAAGAAGGACTTGAAAATAAAATATATTTGCTGCCGACATCCAACTTTATTAGTTAAAATTAAAAGCGTACTTACAGTAAGTCAAGTGGTGTTGCATCACTTCATGTTATTAGCCTTGAGGTAGGTTCGAATAATTTCGTACGATATATCTAAACCTTTCTGCTTCAATTTTGTTTGTCCTTGACGCAGTGTTAAGCCAGGATTCCGCGAAAACAGATTCGCTATTTTTTTATCGTCTTTTTTGTCCACTTTGCATATCGAGCCACGTTCCGGTAAATCATCGACATTTTTTGCCACATTATATCGCTGCACCCACTTCTGTATGAATGATTTCGACTTTTTCATATATTTAGCAGCCGCTAATTGTGACATTTTTGGGTGAGTGCAGAGGAACACAGCTTCATATCGTGATGCGTATTTGGTACTCATGGCGCTTAATGTGATTCTCTTAAGAAAGTTCAATGAAAACAACTGAATCTTCCTTGATAGTGCATCAAGGACAAAGGTGCCCTCTATGAATTCATAATAGATTTAGGGTGATATCTTTTATTAACTTTGAGTAAGGCCGACTACGATCTTACTTGACTTACTGTAACATGAACAGCTAAGTAAGTGACAACTATTCGTCACTATCTTAGCTGCGTAACCAAACATTCCATTCGCAATTGTTTCTGGAATGCTGCCGGTTACCATTTTACTCTAGCAGAGAATATTTTTCGCTGTAGCGCCTAAGTTTTAGCAGTTAATAAATTGAGTTTTGGCAGCAACGACATTAACTATCTCTATTATAAAGACACATTTTAACAGCCAGAGGTCTATTTTAGCTGTGTTAACTAATTTTTTCTCTGTATATAATAGCTATGCAATTAGTATGCCAGCTAATAGAAAAATCAAAACGCAGCTACAACTCTATTTTAACTATATTGATAGCTATATAGTTGCTGTGACAGCTAATAAAGAAGTCCAAATATAGTCATAGCAATTTTAACTATATATTGGTAGCTGTACAGTCGTTGTAATAGCTAATAAAAAAGTCAAAATGTAGTCACATCTATTTGGTTGTAAAAGTATGATAACTTTATCGTCAAAATAGCTGTAATCCAGCTATAATTTGTGTAGCAAAAGCAAAGAGTAACATAAACTATTAGGTTAAAGCATGTATCCGCGATGGTTAAACGGACCCAATCGTTCATTTAAGAGGCTCTAAAATTATTACTTAAAGATCTGTGTATCGTTTTATCTAATCAGTGTACTTATGAATTTGAGTACGCGTTAGTATAATTATATGTACGTTATAAATTCTAATAAGTTACAATAATTAATTAAACTTTTAAATTTGATCTAATTTTAGTAAGACAAAGATACTGGATTGTTACAAGTTGAATTCCATTTGTAAAAAAATATTTTATTGTATTTTAAATATTTTTATGTAATTTCAAATTAAAAATTAAACTTTGATTAAATATTAATTTACATATAAAAAATATTCTGTTTATTTTATTCAGATTATCACTGTTGTAACATATCGGCTATGACAGCCTCTTTACAACAAAATAGTTGTGCAATTGAATAGCTGCGATATCATTTTCAAAGTTTAAAAATGTTGTCCCATTTTTGTTACTACAATTTTATTAAAACGTTATAATAACTTTGTGGCGATAGTTATGCTAAACAAAAATGCTGCAGTGTAAGCTGCGACAACGTTATCGCAGATTTTGAAGTTGCGTGATGGCTATAACAACTTTTCCGCAGCAAAATAATTGCGCAGCCAAACGGCTGCGACATCGTCTTCAAAACCTAAAATTGTTGTCTCATTTTTGCTGCTACTTTGTCACAATGTCATAATGACGTTGTGGTAGTAATTGTCATAGACCCAAATACTGCGATTTAAGCTGGGACAATGTCATCGCAGACGTTTTAAAGCTTCATATGTTGGGAACCTTAAACATTGTTATGGTTTTTACCGGACATCATATATGTGTTTGTATATGTGCGTATATATGTATAGTTTATTAACCTGCATATATTGCTGTTGAGAAATCTGCTGTTGCATGTGCTGCTGTTGCTGTTGTGTCATATGAGGTGGTGCCATTACACTGCCCATTAAGCTCTATAAAAATGAGAATACATGTATTCTTTATTCAAATTGTTCACATTTTTTTAATATATAATTCGAATTATTCATACATGAATTATTTCATATAAATAAAATGTCTTCATACATTAGTTCTTATATATAGAGAAATAAAGAAAAAAATAAACAAAAATTTAGAAAACTTTTTGCATAGAATGTTTTACTTATTATATACTATGATAAGCCAAACGATAGTCCTATTTCATTTATAGAATGATGAATAAAATACATTAATCATTAAATTTATGTATTATATTAATTTTTGTCTATGTACTAATATTTATGTCATAAGAACAAGTATACAATTACGTCATAATTTCGAAAAAAATTTGTCTTCTATAATATGTACTTAAATCTTTTTTTAAATTCTATCATATATTTGCAATAAGATCATACTTGTTGAGGATTTCCTTGCATGGCTAAATGATGAGATGACTTTTTATTAACAGTCATTTGTTGCTGCTGTTGCTGATGTTGAGGCGACGCAGGTTGATGTTGAGGACTATAGACTTGATATGTAACATTTCCTGGCGCAGTATTGTTGGCATAGCCTGTGTATGCACTGTATTGCATTTGTTGTTGCGGCTGTGGTGTTTGCTGTTTTTGTTCATTTTCACCTGCACCTTTGCTTACCAGAGATGCTCTGTACGCCGCGAGAGCTTTCAAATATTCCTTCTTAGCTGCTTCGGTTTTCTTTTTGTAATACTACATAAAAATTTATATTTTAATTTAGCAACAATGGAATATTAATATTACAATTATACCAATATATATGTAATTATACTAATATGTCGCACAATTTAAAAAATAATACTCGATATAATTATTAAATAGGTAAAAGAGATATGTAGGATAATTTAGATTTTAGATACTTACATTTTTATGTTCAATGTCTAATGCATCCCACATTGACGCAACAATTTTAGATACTTCACCGAAGCTGGCGTTTGGATGTTTTCCCTTAATTACTGCCTGAGTATCTCTAAAGAAAAGGGCATACGCTGACACTGGTCTGAAAATCAATCAGTGTCAGATTACAATTTTAAGTAAATAATAACATTCAGAGATTAAATTATGTTTAAAGCATTATGTTCAAAGTTTTTAGTAATCTATTATTAGTATCGCAATTATAATAACTCAAGAAAATATCTCAAATATTAAAAAAAAAAACAAATAGCTTTTTATCGTAATAAATACCTAAATTTGACAGTATTCTGACAGATTTTAATGTCTGTAACGCATTCTGCCATTACTTATTCCTCTTTTAATGAATCCTTGTAATTTCACTATTTTAATAGAAACTTTGATATATGTTTCATTTTTATAATTATGAGAAAATAACATAGTATTCTTCTTCTCTCCTTTCTCTCTTTTTCTCTTTCTGTTCTATTCATTTTGTTTCAGTTTGGTAAATTATCTTAAAGATATTTAGTATTTTTAAAATAGGAATTTAACAAAAATTTTATGAATTGTTCTCATGTTCGAAGACTTTTGTGATAAAATCGAGAATCGATTTACTGAAATAATCCAAAGTTATAAGGATTTTAATTTGCAACAAATTTATTTATTTATTTATTTTTATTATTACTTTACAAACTCTATATATATATATATCTATATATATCTATATATATATATATATATATATATATATATATATCTATATAATAATATGATATATATGTTTATGCTTTAAAACACGTTTAAAATTGCACAATATTCAGAACAGTAATTTGGTGAAAAATTATCGCAAACAAAAAATAAAAAAAAAGCATTTAAAAGCTTGAAATCTCTACTTTCGAAATTGGTAATTGATATTTCAATTTGACTGATTCTTTATAGAGATATACGGACACAAATAAATACCCGTTAAATCTGAAAACTTCACGAATATCTATAGCGTGAAGTAAAACACAAAAATGCGGTTTACAGCAGTCGAAAGAGTGAATTTTTATTTTCAATTTGCTTTTTTATTGAGTGCTGTACGATTTTTTTTCACCGAGTTATTGAACGTTGAAGCAAAAATGATTACATGGGGGGGTCCTACAAAACATACGGGTCTCGGCTCATTTGGCTGAATTTGTAATATATTGTAGTTCTGATCATCCTTATCAAAAGTCTCCATGGGCACGAAGTAAAATAATGAACAGTTTGAATTATTGTACATCAAATTTTGTAAAATTATTTTGGCAGAAACAAGTTTAGGTGGTGCCCTAAAAAAAAAAATCAAATGACAGAAAAGAAAGATCATCCAGCGGCGTATATATCGTTAAACTAATTATTTTTATTTTTTAATCATTAACAATTCAACTAATTGTTTAAACGAGATATATAAGATTCCACAATGCAGAAAAGCAAAGTACACATATTAAAAAAAAAAAAGGAAAGAAAAGTCCTCTAGGCTGATTTTTGAAAAAAATACACTTTAAAAATCAATGTTGTGTAATATAATGATAGTGTAATATAAGGGAACTCAAATGTTTAACTAGCTCAGGTTTCTGTTATCTGATCGAGTTGAAATTTGACAGGAATTATATTTTTATAGATTGGAACAATTCTAATGGATGTCGCGGAAAGATAAAAAAGATGGACAATCCTAATATATATACTAATAAAACATTAATAAATATACGTGCAAAAATTTATTTAGATCCATTTACTCATAAATTTAAACATTATTAACCTAAAATTATACAAAAATATCATCATTTTGCTGCATAAAACTATTATAAACGTAATTTAATTTGTTTTTTTTTTTTTAGTTAGTTTCACAAGTTAATATCATTAAAATTTGTTTTAGTGATATTGATTGATATTAGATATTTTTTGCTGATTATTAGATTATTTGACTGATACTTTTAGCTAATATTGTATAAACAAATCATCCTTAACCTATTTCTTAATCATATTACCCATCTTCATTTGTCTATTCCACTGATTTCAACATTTTATATTTACATAATGTCTTATATTTATATGACAACGATAATGATGACTGGTGATTTACACCAATAATTTATTAATAATGACTAATTTACATCATAAAAACTATTATGAGTGTAAACATAGAATGTTTATACAATATAATCTTAGTTCCTGTGCTGACTGTATGTTTGTATTTATCGTATATAAATACGAGCAGTACTACTGAATTAAAGTTCATTAAATTATTTATTCTAATTTAAAAAAATAATTATATATATATATATATATCATGGCGATATTATTAACACAAATCGAAAAAAAGTTGAAACGGTATTACCTTTGGAAACATCAACTTTTTGATAATTATGCAAAATAGGATTTTTTTTGAATTTTGATATTTTTTTGCTGCAATGTTAATAATAATCTTTGTTATAACTCAAAATAATGATAATAAATCGGAGGAGATAAAAAAATGGATCAAAAATTTTCTTTGAAGACGTTACATATAGTAGTGCACAGGAGCGCACGACTTCCATGCGAAGTGACTCCCATAGTGGAAAGAATAAGATGATGTGTGCAGTTGGACAGTGTCTCTCTCTCTAAATCTCTGCCCTCTCTGGACTACTGTTCATAAGGTTCAAAGATTATTGTGAAACGCTAAACATGAGACGGTTCATAGTCCGTTTTTATTTTAAAACTGTTTTAAATATAATGTCTTAAGATGTTAATACCTTTCTTGTGCAAGGAAAGATTCAATACCAACTTCATACAAAACAGATCGATATTTATAGTCAATTCTTACATTTAAGACTGTCTTAAGTACAATCTTAAGATGTTGTAAGTCAATCCGACTGTATTAACATCTTATTATATTTAAGTTTTAAAATAAAAATAGACTATGAATACCGTTCCATGTTTAATGTTTCACAGTTGATTTTTCCTTATGAACAGTCTAGATGGAAAAGGCAGAGATTTAGAAAGAGATACTGACAACTGCATATCATATTATCCCTTCCATCCCATCCCTCCTTGCTTAGGGGCGCACGAAAAGCGCCTCTCACCCCACTTCCCTTCTACTACTGAGCACACGAATTTAGAATAGTTGCTTTCCATTTACACCGATTCTTAGATAATTCTCACTTAAGACGTCATAACTCAGTTGAATACGTTTCTTCTGATAAGTGAGAAACTCAACTGAGTTTTTATTCATAATCTGCATAAGATCGAGATCGAGTGCTTTCAGTGAATAAATCTGTGTTGACATGTGATAACTTTTTATCAAAGTAAGCAAGTAGTGACGTCATTAATCTGAATACAAAATACTCAGCTCACTTCAGACTCAGTTTCACTTGTGTGTAAATGAAAAGCAACTAATGTCAACATTATTACTTAGTACACGAATAGAAGTATATGTATATTAGACTGATAAGAAAAAAAAATTGAGCTGTTCCTCCAGGCCCTTCCTTTTTATATTACGCTGCTTAGAATGGGAGTAGTTGAGAAGAGAGGGGAGGGGAGAAGAAGAGGTGGTGGAATTTGGTTGGTCTTCAATAATCGGGAGAATGGTCTTCCATTTATGTTGTAGCCATTATCTCATTTATATTATTAAGATGTTTTTGTATCTCTATAGCCTCTCTATACTTTCTTGGAAAGTATGATGTAACGTTGTCGTGGTCGCTTTGTCAAACAGTATTTAATGTCCTGTTTCGATGTTGTGTTCTGATAATGCCAGCTGCGTGGCATGTTTTAGCCTGACATCACGTTGGTGTTCTTTTATTCGTAGGTTGACCATTCTCCCGGTTTCTCCAATGTATACTTGTCCGCAGGAACAAGGTATTTTGTATACTTCTGCGGAGCTTAGTGAAGATCTTTGATTTTTAGGATTTCTTAAGATTTGTTCTATCTTTTTGGATGGTTTGAAGATAGTTCGGATATTGTATTTGTTTAATATTCTGCCAATCCGATCCGAATGTTGTTCCTTTGACATATGGAAGAATAGATATCTATCATTCTAGACACGGAGAAAACCCACGAAACACACAACAGTTATGTCTTAAAGTTGTCTCATGCGTCGATTTTAGACATTCTGCTCATTGGGTAATAATTATGAAAATTGTAAAATGATAGAGGACCTTCCGGTTCGATTTAATCCGCTCTATTTGCACACAAAAATAGTTCTAAATATTTTGAGATACTCTGTATAGTACCAAAATAGTCACAAATATTCTGAGACATTTTGTATAGTCCCTACACTATAATACACATATTAAAGTGTGTACACAAAATGCTATAACAGCCGACTGTAATTTCACTTGAAAATCTAAGATAATTTTTCCATAACTTCAAAAACTGAAGGTCACGTGATAAACAAGGTGTGTTTGATGACTCAAAAAAGTCATGAGTATATATTTTCCTTATGGCAGTCAGGATATTTTATACCCGACGTGGTATGTATCTCGTTTATAAACTATTATCGTGGTTTCTAGTTTGGGGAGTTACGAATTATTCTCTTAAGTTAATATAAGTATAATATACCCATAGGAATGTAGAAGAGATGTCTTATGGAAACTAAAGACCTATAGGATATTACACTTTGACGTATAGGAACATACAGGTTCACATAGGACAGAGGAGATGTGCATACGTCGTCCTATGATAGCCTATAGGCGTTTTCAATTCTCATGGGGCACATATTCTTTGTCTTATGTACGCCTATATGTTACTATACGTCGAATCCTATAGACCTTTTAGTTCTCATGAGGTATCTGTCCACATTCCTGTGGGTATATCTCTATTATCCTATTTGCATTTCTATGAATGTCCTACGTATATTTATGCATGCTGCGCAAATCCTATAGATAACAAACTCCTACAGAATCTTATAGTCCTCTATAAGAACCCATGAAAAAACCCGTAGGAATTTGCAGCAAGGGAGCGCCAGTGAACGAGTGACCAACAAATCGAGACATCTCAACGTAATATCTTTCCAAGCTGCTCTCGAGGTATTCGTCAATATAGATAAGGACGCGTTGCAGAGAGTGTGCTTCAGGTCGATAATTGAAGCAGTCATCAAAGTAAAAGCGGGAG